GTGAGAGTGAGTGAGTGAGTGAGTGTGAGTGTGAGTGTGAGAGTGAGTGTGAGAGTGAGTGTGAGTGAGTGAGTGTGTGTGAGAGTGAGTGAGTGTGGTGAGTGAGTGTGAGTGAGTGTAGAGTGAGAGTGAGTGAGTGAGTGTGAGAGAGTGAGTGTGAGAGTGTGAGTGAGTGAGTGAGTGTGAGAGTGAGTGAGTGGTGAGATGTGAGTGAGTGTGAGTGATGTGAGAGTGAGTGTGAGTGAGTGTGAGTGTGAGTGTGTGAGAGTGAGTGAGTGTGAGTGAGTGAGTGTGAGAGTGAGTGAGTGAGTGAGTGAGAGTGAGTGTGAGAGTGAGTGAGTGAGAGTGAGTGAGAGTGAGTGAGTGAGTGTGAGTGTGAGAGTGAGTGAGTGATGAGTGTGAGTGAGTGAGTGTTGAGAGTGAGTGAGTGAGTGTGAGAGTGAGTGTGAGTGAGTGAGTGAGAGTGAGAGTGTGAGAGTGAGTGTGAGAGTGTGAGTGTGAGTGTGAGAGTGAGTGAGTGTGTGAGAGTGAGTGTGTGAGAGTGAGTGAGTGAGTGAGAGTGAGTGAGAGTGAGAGAGTGTGTGAGTGAGTGAGTGAGAGTGAGTGAGTCTGAGAGTGAGTGAGTGAGTGAGAGTGAGTGAGTGTGAGTGAGTGAGTGAGTGTGAGTGAGTGAGTGAGTGTGAGTGAGTGTGAGTGAGTGTGAGTGAGTGTGTGAGTGAGTGTGAGAGTGTGAAGTGAGTGTGAGAGTGAGTGTGAGAGTGAGTGAGTGAGTGTGAGTGAGTGAGTGAGTGAGTGTGAGTGAGTGAGAGTGAGTGAGTGAGTGAGTGAGTGAGAGTGAGTGAGTGAGTGATGTGAGAGTGAGTGTGAGTGTGAGAGTGAGTGAGTGTGTGAGTGAAGTGAGTGAGTGAGTGAGTGTGTGAGTGTGAGAGTGAGTGTGTGTGAGTGAGTGTGAGTGTGAGTCTGAGAGTGAGTCTGAGAGTGAGTGAGTGAAGTGAGTGTGAAGAGTGATGTGAGTGAGTGTGAGAGTGAGAGTGAGTGAGTGTGAGTGAGTGTGTGAGTGAGTGTGAGAGTGTGTGTGAGTGAGTGAGTGTGAGTGAGTGAGTGTGAGTGAGTGAGTGTGAGTTGAGAGTGAGTGAGTGTGAGTGAGTGAGTGAGAGTGAGTGTGAGAGTGTGAGAGTGAGTGTGTGAGAGTGTGAGTGAGTGAGAGTGAGTGAGTGAGTGTGAGTGAGTGTGTGAGTGTGTGAGAGTGAGTGAGTGTGAGTGAGTGTGTGTGAGAGTGTGAGTGGTGAGTGAGTGTGAGAGTGAGTGAGTGTGAGAGTGAGTGTGTGAGAGTGTGAGTGAGAGGAGTGAGTGTGAGTGAGTGTGAGTGAGTGTGAGAGTGAGTGTGTGTGAGAGTGAGTGAGTGTGAGTGAGTGAGTGAGGTGAGTGAGTGTGAGTTGTGTGTGAGAGTGAGTGAGTGTGAGAGTGAGTGAGTGTGAGAGTGAGTGTGAGAGTGAGTGAGTGAGTGAGTGTGAGAGTGAGTGAGTGTGAGAGTGAGTGTGAGAGTGAGTGAGTGTGAGTGAGTGTGAGAGTGAGTGAGTGTGAGAGTGAGTGTGAGAGTGAGTGAGTGTGAGAGTGAGTGAGAGTTGAGTGTGAGAGTGAGTGAGATGTGAGTGTGAGTGAGTGTGAGTGAGTGAGTGAGTGAGAGTGAGTGTGAGAGTGAGTGAGAGTGAGTGTGAGAGTGAGAGTGTGTGTGAGAGTGAGTTGAGTGAGTGAGTGAGTGTGAAGTGAGTGTGAGAGTGAGTGAGTGAGGTGAGTGAGTGTGAGTGAGTGAGTGTGAGAGTGAGTGTGAGAGTGAGTGAGTGTGTGAGAGTGAGTGAGAGTGAGTGTGAGAGTGAGTGAGTGTGAGAGTGAGTGAGTGAGTGAGTTGAGAGTGAGTGAGAGGAGTGAGTGTGGAGTGAGTGTGTGTGAGGTGGTGTGAGTGAGTGTGAGTGTGAGAGGTGTGTGTTTTGTTTTTGCATTTATTTTATTTTCATGTGAACTCTTTACTTTTATAAGGTGCTGTTTTTGTTTGTATCTGAAAATCTGAAATATAATAAAGAAGATAAGTGTGTGGAGGTGATGCTGCGTCTGAGCTCAGATGATCTCCTGGTATTTTTCTGTCTGTTTGAAGCAGATCCATGGAGTCCATGTGTAAAAGTGATTTATTTCATCTGGGACAATTCACGAGGAGAACGAGGCTCATCACTGGAGAATGAACATGAAAAAAAACATTTGTTTGACCTGAAGTGTCTTATTTTCTAACAAATGATTCGTCCGCGGCTCTGATCTCCTGTGCAGTCTGGCGCCCCTAGTGCAATCAGAATCAGAATCAGAAAACACCAGACGCTTTGAAGAACCCGGAAGTTGTGGACGTTTGCACGACAATCATCTGTGAGCTGTGGTCATGACGTGGTGGTGGTGGAAAACGAAAAAACAACTGTTTTCTTCATTATTTGTCAGACAGATATGATTCGATTTTCATTTTCCGATTTTGTGTTTAATGAAAAATGGAAAAACGGGATAACGACCATTTCCTGTTTACATGACTTCAGTGACTGTGATGTCGGACTTTTGCACCGAATACGGACTGAACCAGGACTGATCCAGGTCTGGGACCAGACCGGGACCAGACTGAGACCAGGACCAGACAGGACCAGACCAGGACCAGAGGGGACTGGTTTTTCGGTGCAAAAGCTCGGCATCACAGTCACTGAAGTCACGTAAACGAGAAACAGTCGTTATCTGTTTTTTCCATTTTTCATTTAAACACAAAATCGAAAAATGAAAAAACGAATCATTATCTGTTTTTTCATTTTGGTTTTGGAGACAAATAATGAAGAAAACTGGAACTGTTCACCTGAAAACTACCACTTCATGACATCATGAGGTGGAGCAGAGCGTCTGGAGATTTAGAGATGTGACAAATGAATAATAAAAACTTTTAATAAAACTGCTGCGAAAAATTGTTTGTTTTTAGTGAAAAGAAAAACACAAATCATTGAAATCCAGGACTAAACCAGGACTAAACCAGGTCTTAACCAGGACTAAACCAGGTCTTAACCAGGACTAAACCAGGTCCTAAACCAGGTCTTACAGGACAGGAGGACTAAACCAGGGAAACTAAACCAGGTCTTAACCAGGACTAAACCAGGTCTTAACAACCAGGCTTAACCAGAAAACCAGGTCTAAACCAGGTCTAACAAACCAGGACTAAACCAGGTCTAAACTAAAAACAGGACTAAACCCAGGACTAAACCAGGACTGGACCAGGTCTAAACCAGGACTAAACCAGGTCGAATCCAGGTCTAAACCAGGTCAACCAGGTCTAAACCAGGTAAACCAGGACTAAACCAGGACTGAACCAGTCTAAACAGTGCAAAACCAGGACTAAAACCAGGACTAACAGGTCTAACCAAGTCTAAACAGGAACTGAACCAGGACTAACCAGCAACTAACCAGAACTAAACCAGAACTGAACCAGGTCTAAATCAGAACTAATCCAGGACTTAACAAGGACTAAACCCAGGTCTAAACCAGGACTAAACCAGGTTTAGACCAGGTCTGTTTCTCACCTGAAAGTCTCGTCAAACGTAATCGGCGAAGCCAAAACAAGAACCGGATCACGACCAGGATCACCACACGGAGGTCCATGTCTGTAAAAATCAGGACTAAATCAGGACTGAACCAAACCAGGTCACAAGCACTAAACTAGGACCACATCACCTTACGTCAGGACTAAACCAGGACTAAAGGGCACTTGTTCTGGGGCTTTGGTGTTTCCTGAGTGACGTCACTCCTCAACACTGCTCCATTCAACGCCCGAGACAGAACCCAAGAAAAACAAACAGGACCAGACCTGGACCAGA